GGAGGAAAGGGGGAGGAGTTAGAGTAATGGGGGGAGGGGGAGGAGGAAAGGGGGAGGAGTTAGAGTAATGGGGGGAGGAGGGGGAGGAGGAAAGGGGGAGGAGTTAGAGTAATGGGGGGAGGAGGAAAGGGGGAGGAGTTAGAGTAATGGGGGGAGGGGGAAAGGGGGAGGAGTTAGAGTAATGGGGGGAGGGGGAGGAGGAAAGGGGGAGGAGTTAGAGTAATGGGGGAAAGGGGGAGGAGTTAGAGTAATGGGGGAGGGGAAAGAGGAAAGGGGGAGGAGTTAGAGTAATGGGGGAAAGGGGGAGGAGTTAGAGTAATTGGTGGAGGGGGGAGGAGGAAAGGGGGAGGAGTTAGAGTAATGGGGGGAGGAGGAAAGGGGGAGGAGTTAGAGTAATGGGGGGAGGGGGAAAGGGGGAGGAGTTAGAGTAAGTAATGGGGGGAAGGGGAAAGGGGGAGGAGTTAGAGTAATGGGGGAGGGGGGAAGGGGGAGGAGTTAGAGTAATGGGGGGAGGGGGGGAAAGGGGGAAGAGTTAGAGTAATGGGGGGAGGGGGGGAAAGGGGGAGGAGTTAGAGTAATGGGGGGAGGGGGGAGGAGGAAAGGGGGAGGAGTTAGAGTAATGGGGGGAGGGGGGGAAAGGGGGAGGAGTTAGAGTAATGGGGGGAGGGGGGGAAAGGGGGAGGAGTTAGAGTAAGTAATGGGGGGGAGGGGGAAGGAGGAAAGGGGGAGGAGTTAGAGTAATGGGGGGAGGAGGAGGAGGAAAGGGGGAGGAGTTAAAGTAATGGGGGGAGGAGGAGGAAAGGGGGAGGAGTTAGAGTAATGGGGGAAGGGGAGGAGGAAAGGGGGAGGAGTTAGAGTAATGGGGGAAAGGGGGAGGAGTTAGAGTAATGGGGGAAAGGGGGAGGAGTTAGAGTAATGGGGGAGGGGAAAGAGGAAAGGGGGAGGAGTTAGAGTAATGGGGGAAAGGGGGAGGAGTTAGAGTAATGGGGGGAGGGGGAAGAGGAAAGGGGGAGGAGTTAGAGTAATGGGGGGAGGGGGAGGAGGAAAGGGGGAGGAGTTAGAGTAAGTAATTGGGGGAGGGGGGAGGAGGAAAGGGGGAGGAGTTAGAGTAATGGGGGGAGGAGGAGGAGGAAAGGGGGAGGAGTTAGAGTAAGTAATGGGGGGAGAGGGGGAAAGGGGGAGGAGTTAGAGTAATGGGGGAGGGGAAAGAGGAAAGGGGGAGGAGTTAGAGTAAGTAATGGGGGGAGAGGAGGAAAGGGGGAGGAGTTAGAGTAAGTAATTGGGGGAGGAGGAAAGGGGGAGGAGTTAGAGTAATGGGGGAGGGGAAAGAGGAAAGGGGGAGGAGTTAGAGTAATGGGGGAAAGGGGGAGGAGTTAGAGTAATGGGGGGAGGAGGAAAGGGGGAGGAGTTAGAGTAAGTAATTGGGGGAGGGGGGAGGAGGAAAGGGGGAGGAGTTAGAGTAAGTAATGGGGTGAAGGGGAGGGGGAGGGGGAAGGGGGAGGAGTTAGAGTATGCAGTGGGGGGAGGGGGAGGAGGAAAGGGGGAGGAGTCGAGTAAGCAGTGGGGGGGGGAAGAGGAAAGGGGGAGGAGTCGAGTAAGTAATGGGGGGGAGGGGGAGGGGGGAGGAGGAAAGGGGGAGGAGTTAGAGTAAGTAATGGGGGGAGGGGGAGGAGGAAAGGGGGAGGAGTTAGAGTAATTAATGGGGGGAGGGGGAGGAGGAAAGGGGGAGGAGTTAGAGTAAATAATTGGGGGAGGGGGAGGAGGAAAGGGGGAGGAGTCGAGTAAGCAGTGGGGGGAGGGGGAGGAGGAAAGGGGGAGGAGTCGAGTAAGCAGTGGGGGGAGGGGGGAGGGGGAAAGGGGGAGGAGTCGAGTAAGCAGTGGGGGGGAGGGGGAAAGTGGGAGGAGTCGAGTAAGCAGTGGGGGGAGGGGGGAGGAGGAAAGGGGGAGGAGTCGAGTAAGTAATGGGGGGAGGGGGGAGGAGGAAAGGGGGAGGAGTCGAGTAAGTAATGGGGGGAGGGGGGAGGAGGAAAGGGGGAGGAGTCGAGTAAGTAATGGGGGGAGGGGGATGAGGAAAGGGGGAGGAGTCGAGTAAGCAGTGGGGGGGGAGTGGGAGGGGCCTGAGACGCTGCGTATTGTGAGCGGGGTTGAACTGGTTACAGTGTGAAGGAAGTTCAACACGATACAGTACACTACACTGTACGCTGCACTGCACGCTGCACTGTACACTGCACTGTACACCACACACTACACTGTACGCTACACTGCACACTACACACTGTACACTACACTATACACTACACTGTACACTACACTATACACTACACACTACACTGTACACTACACACTACTACACTATACTATACACTACACTATACACTACACGATACACTGCTACACTATACACTACACTATAATACAATATACACTTTACACTACACTATACAGTACACTTCAATATACACTATACACTACACTTGACACTACACTATACACTACACTATACACTACACTATACACTACACTATATACTACACTATAAACTACAACACTATACACTACACTATACACTACACTATACTATACATTACACTGTACTACTCTAAACTACTAGTTTTGTCTTTATAACTCCACTTGCCCCTACAGCCCTGCTAGAGGCTACCTGGGGGAGCTTTGTCTGTGTCTGTGTAACTGCACTTGCCCCTACAGCCCTGCTAGAAGCTACCTGGGGGAGCTTTGTCTGTGTCTGTGTAACTGCACTTGCCCCTACAGCCCTGCTAGAGGCTACCTGGGGGAGCTTTGTCTGTGTCTTTGTGACTGCACTTGCCCCTACAGCCCTGCTAGAGGCTACCTGGGTCACCTTTGTCTTTGTCAGTGTGTAACTGCACTTGCCCCTACAGCCCTGCTAGAGGCTACCTGGGTCACCTTTGTCTGTGTCTGTGTAACTGCACTTGCCCCTACAGCCCTGCTAGAGGCTACCTGGGGGTAGCTTTGCCTGTGTCTGTGTGTGACTGCACTTGCCCCTACAGCCCTGCTAGAGGCTACCTGGGGGTAGCTTTGCCTGTGTCTGTGTGTGACTGCACTTGCCCCTATAGCCCTGCTAGAGGCTACCTGGGGTAGCTTTGCCTGTGTCTGTGTGTGACTGCACTTGCCCCTACAGCCCTGCTAGAGGCTACCTGGGGGAGCTTTGTCTGTGTCTCTGTGTGTGACTGCACTTGCCCCTACAGCCCTGCTAGAGGCTACCTGGGGTAGCTTTGTCTGTGTCTGTGTGTGACTGCACTTGCCCCTACAGCCCTGCTAGAGGCTACCTGGGGGTAGCTTTGTCTGTGTCTGTGTGTGACTGCACTTGCCCCTACAGCCCTGCTAGAGGCTACCTGGGGTAGCTTAGTCTGTGTCTGTGTGTAACAGCACTTGCCCCTACAGCCCTGCTAGAGGCTACCTGGAGGACCTTTGTCTTTGTCTGTGTAACTGCACTTGCCCCTACAGCCCTGCTAGAGGCTACCTGGGGGTAGCTTTGCCTGTGTCTGTGTGTGACTGCACTTGCCCCTACAGCCCTGCTAGAGGCTACCTGGGGTAGCTTTGCCTGTGTCTGTGTGTGACTGCACTTGCCCCTACAGCCCTGCTAGAGGCTACCTGGGGGAGCTTTGTCTGTGTCTCTGTGTGTGACTGCACTTGCCCCTACAGCCCTGCTAGAGGCTACCTGGGGTAGCTTTGTCTGTGTGTCTGTGTGTGACTGCACTTGCCCCTACAGCCCTGCTAGAGGCTACCTGGGGGTAGCTTTGTCTGTGTCTGTGTGTGACTGCACTTGCCCCTACAGCCCTGCTAGAGGCTACCTGGGGTAGCTTAGTCTGTGTCTGTGTGTAACAGCACTTGCCCCTACAGCCCTGCTAGAGGCTACCTGGAGGACCTTTGTCTTTGTCTGTGTAACTGCACTTGCCCCTACAGCCCCGATAGAGGCTACCTGGGGTAGCTTTGTCTGTGTGTCTGTGTGTGACTGCACTTGCCCCTACAGCCCTGCTAGAGGCTACCTGGGGGAGCTTTGTCTGTGTCTGTGTAACTGCACTTGCCCCTACAGCCCTGCTAGAGGCTACCTGGGGTAGTTTTGTCTGTGTCTGTGTGTGACTGCACTTGCCCCTACAGCCCTGCTAGAGGCTACCTGGGGTAGCTTTGTGTGACTGCACTTGCCCCTACAGCCCTGCTAGAGGCTACCTGGGGGTAGCTTTGTCTGTGTCTGTGTGTAACTGCACTTGCCCCTACAGCCCTGCTAGAGGCTACCTGGGGAAGCTTTGCCTGTGTCTGTGTGTGACTGCACTTGCCCCTACAGCCCCGATAGAGGCTACCTGGGGGTAGCTTTGTCTGTGTCTGTGTGTGACTGCACTTGCCCCTACAGCCGTGCTAGAGGCTACCTGGGGGAGCTTTGTCTGTGTCTGTGTGTGACTGCACTTGCCCCTACAGCCCTGCTAGAGGCTACCTGGGGGTAGCTTTGTCTGTGTCTGTGTGTGTGACTGCACTTGCCCCTACAGCCCTGCTAGAGGCTACCTGGGGGTAGCTTTGCCTGTGTCTGTGTGTGACTGCACTTGCCCCTACAGCCCTGCTAGAGGCTACCTGGGGGTAGCTTTGCCTGTGTCTGTGTGTGAGTGCACTTGCCCCTACAGCCCTGCCAGAGGCTACCTGGGGGTAGCTTTGCCTGTGTCTGTGTGTGACTGCACTTGCCCCTACAGCCCTGCTAGAGGCTACCTGGGGTTAGCTTTGCCTGTGTCTGTGTGTGACTGCACTTGCCCCTACAGCCCTGCTAGAGGCTACCTGGGGGTAGCTTTGCCTGTGTCTGTGTGACTGCACTTGCCCCTACAGCCCTGCTAGAGGCTACCTGGGGTGTCGCCTCACCTCCTCATTGTGGTCTCCTCTCACCCACAGCACCGTCAAATTGCCACCACCTCCACCACCGCCACCACCGCCTCCACCTCCACCGCCTCCACCGCCTCCACCTCCACCACCGCCTCCACCTCCACCGCCTTCACCGCCTTCACCGGCACCACCGGCTCCACCGGCACCACCGGCACCACCGCAATCGAACCGGCATGCCAGACGCACCGTGCTCCCGGCCGGCGCGGTCATCACCGGCGTATCGGCGGTGTTCATCACCGGCGAATCGGCGGTCTTCACCGGCGAATCGGCGGTGTTCATCACCGGCGAATCGGCGGTGTTCATCACCGGCGAATCGGCGGTCTTCACCGGCCATGACGAGGCCAATGGCGGCAGCAGCAGCAGCAGCAGGACGGTGAGCACTGGGGGAGGCCGTGGTGACGCCGATTACCACTCCACTGTGAAGCTACACTACACTATACACTACTACACTATATACTACATTATACTATACACTACTACACTATACACTACTACACTACTACACTATACACTACTACACTACACTATACACTACTACACTATACACTACTACACTACTACACTATACACTACTACACTATACACTACTACACTATACACTACATTATACACTACACTATACACTACTACACTATACACTACTACACTATACACTACATTATACACTACACTATACACTACTACACTATACACTACTACACTACTACACTATACACTACTACACTATACACTACTACACTATATACTACTACACTATACACTACTACACTATACACTACTACACTATACTATACACTACACTATACACTATACACTACTACACTATACACTACTACACTATACTATACATTACACTATACACTATACACTACTACACTATACACTACTACACTATACTATACATTACACTATACACTATACACTACTACACTATACACTACTACACTATACACTACTACACTATACTATACATTACACTATACACTATACACTACTACACTATACACTACTACACTATACACTACTACACTATACACTACTACACTATACACTACTACACTATACACTACTACACTATACACTACTACACTATACACTACTACACTATACACTACTACACTATACACTACAATACTACATTAAACTATACACTACTACACTACACTATACACTACTACACTATACTATACACTACACTATACACTACCACACTATACACTACTACACTATATACTACTACACTATACACTACTACACTATACACTACTACACTATACTATACATTACACTATACACTACTACACTATACACTACACTATACACTACTACACTATACACTACTACACTATACACTACACTATACACTACTACACTATACACTACTACACTACACTATACACTACTACACTATACACTACTACACTATATACTACATTATACTATACACTATACACTACTACACTATACACTACTACACTATACACTATACACTACACTATACACTACTACACTATACACTACTACACTATACACTACTACACTATACACTACTACACTATACACTACTACACTATACACTACTACACTATACACTACTACACTATACACTACTACACTATACTATACATTACACTATACACTACTACATTATACACTACTACACTAAACACTATACACTACACTATACACTACACTATACACTACTACACTATACACTACTACACTAAACACTACTACACTATACACTACACTATACACTACGACACTACTACACTATACACTATACACTACTACACTATACACTACTACACTATACACTACACTATACACTACTACACTATACACTACTACACTACTACACTATACACTACTACACTATACACTACTACACTATACACTATACTATACACTACACTACACTATACACTACTACACTATACACTACTACATTATACTATACACTATACACTACTACACTATACACTACTACACTATACACTACTACACTATACACTACTACACTATACACTACACTATACACTACTACATTATACACTACTACACTATACACTACTACACTATACACTACACTATACACTACTACACTATACACTACTATACTACTACACTATACACTACTACACTATACACTACTACACTATACACTACTACACTATACACTACTACACTATACACTACACTATAAACTACTACACTATACACAACTACACTATACTATACACTACTATACTATAGACTACTACACTATACACTACTACACAATACACTACTACACTATACTATACACTACTACACTACTACATTATACACTATACACTACTACACTATACACTACACTATACACTACTCCACTATACACTACTACACTATACACTACTACACTATACACTACTACACTATACACTACTACACTATACACTACACTATACACTACACTATACACTATACACTACTACACTATACACTACTACACTACACACTACACTATACACTACTACACTATACTATACATTACACTATACACTACTACACTATAAACTACAACACTTTACTATACATTACACTATACACTACTACACTATACACTACTACACTATACTATACATTACACTATACACTATACACTACTACACTATACACTACTACACTATACACTACTACACTATACACTACTACACTATACACTACACTATAAACTTCTACACTATTCACTACACTATACACTACTACACTACACTATACACTACTACACTATACACTACTACACTATACACTACTACATTATACACTATACACTACTACACTATACACTACTACACTACACTATACACTACTACACTATACACTACTACACTATACTATACACTATACACTACTACACTATACACTACTACACTATACACTACTACACTATACACTACTACACTATACACTACTACACTATACACTACTACACTATACACTACTACACTACACTATACACTACTACACTATACACTACTACACTATACACTACTACACTATACACTACTACACTATACACTACTACACTATACACTACTATACTATACACTACTACACTACACTATACACTACTACACTATACACTACACTATACACTACTACACTATACACTACTACACTATACACTACTACACTATACACTACTACACTATACACTACTACACTTTACACTACTACACTATACACTACTACACTATACACTACTACACTATACACTACACTATACACTACTACACTATACACTACTACACTATACACTACTACACTATACACTACTACACTATACACTAATACACTACTACACTACACTATACACTACTACACTATACACTACTACACTATACACTACTACACTATACACTAATACACTATACACTACTACACTATACACTACTACACTATACACTACTACACTATACACTACTACACTATACACTACTACACTATACACTACTACACTATACACTACTATACTATACACTACTACACTATACACTACTACACTACACTATACACTACTACACTACACTGTACACTACTACACTATACACTACTACACTATACACTACTACACTATACACTACTACACTATACACTACTACACTACACTATACACTACTACACTATACACTACTACACTATACACTACTACACTACACTATACATTACTACACTATACTATACACTACTACACTATACACTACTACACTATACACTATGCACACTACACTATACACTACTACACTACACTATACACTACTACACTATACTATACACTACTACACTATACACTACTACACTATACACTACTACACTATACACTACTACACTATACACTACTACACTATACACTACTACACTATAGACTACTACACTACACACTACACTATACACTACTACACTATACACTACACTACTACACTACACTATACACTACACTACTACACTACACTATACACTACACTATACACTACTACACTATACACTACACTATACACTACACTATACACTACACTACTACACTACTATACTCTACACTATACACTACACTATACACTACACTACTACACTACACTATACACTACACTATACACTACACTACTACACTACACTATACACTACACTACTACACTACTACACTATATGCTACACTATACACTACACTATACACTACTACACTACACTATACACTACTACACTATACACTACTACACTATACACTACTACACTATACACTACTACACTACACACTACACTATACACTACTACACTATACACTACTACACTATACACTACTACACTATACACTACTACACTATACACTACTACACTATACAATACACTACTACACTATACACTACTACACTATACACTACACTACTACACTACACTATACACTACTCACCTCTCGCCGTATCCATCGCCTCTCTCTCTCTCTCGCAGAAAGTGAATTAGCTGATCCCACCTCTCTCTTGCTAGTGGATGACGTTTCGGTAAATGCTGGGCGCGCTATACTGCATCGGTGTCCAGTAAATGATTGATCTGGTGGCGAATGGAGATTCAGCATCATCATCAGCATCATCATCAGCAGCAGCATCATCATCAGCAGCATCATCATCAGTAGCATCATCATCAGTAGCATCATCAGTAGCATCATCAGCATCATCATCAGCACCATCATCAGCAGCATCATCATCAGTAGCTTCATCATCATCATCAGTAGCATCATCAGCATCATCATCAGCACCATCATCATCATCATCAGCAGCAGCATCATCATCAGTAGCATCATCATCAGTAGCATCATCAGTAGCATCATCATCAGTAGCATCATCATTAGTAGCATCATCATCAGCATCATCATCAGTAGCATCATCAGTAGCATCATCGTCATCATCAGCACCATCATCATCATCAACACCATCATCATCATCGTCATCATCAGCACCATCATCATCATCAGCACCATCATCATCAGCAGCAGCATCAGTAGCATTATCATCAGTAGCTTCATCATCATCATCAGTAGCATCATCAGCATCATCATCAGCATTATCATCATCATCATCATCAGCAGCATCATCATCAGTAGCATCATCATCAGTAGCATCATCAGTAGCATCATCATTAGTAGCATCATCATCAGTAGCATCATCAGCAGCATCATCATCAGTAGCATCATCATCATCAGCACCATCATCATCATCAGCACCATCATCATCAGCAGCAGCATCAGTAGCATCATCATCAGTAGCTTCATCATCATCATCAGTAGCATCATCAGCATCATCATCAGCATTATCATCATCATCATCAGCAGCATCATCATCAGTAGTGGTAGTAGTGGTAGTAGTAGTGATAGTAGTGGTAGTAGTAGTGGTAGTAGTAGTGGTAGTAGTAGTGGTAGTGATAGTTGTGGTAGTAGTGGTAGTAGTGGTAGTTGTAGTAGTGATAGTTGTAGTAGTGGTGGTAGTAGTGATAGTAGTGGTAGTAGTAGTGATAGTGATAGATGTGGTAGTGGTAGTAGTGGTAGTAGTGGTGGTAGTAGTGGTAGTAGTAGTGGTAGTAGTAGTAGTAGTGGTAGTTGTAGTAGTGGTACTAGTAGTGATAGTAGTGGTAGTAGTACTAGTGGTAGTAGTGGTAGTAGTAGTGATAGTAGTGGTAGTAGTAGTGGTAGTGATAGTTGTGGTAGTACTAGTGATAGTAGTGGTAGTAGTGGTGGTAGTAGTAGTAGTGGTAGTAGTAGTGGTAGTTGTAGTAGTGGTACTAGTAGTGATAGTAGTGGTAGTAGTAGTGGTAGTAGTAGTGGTAGTAGTAGTGGTAGTAGTAGTGGTAGTAGTAGTACTAGTGGTAGTAGTAGTAGTATTAGTGGTAGTGATAGTGATAGTTGTGGTAGTAGTGGTAGTAGTAGTTGTACTAGTAGTAGTAGTGGTAGTAGTAGTGGTAGTAGTAGTAGTGATAGTTGTGGTAGTGGTGGTAGTGATAGTAGTGGTAGTGGTGATAGTTGTGGTAGTGATAGTAGTGGTAGTGGTGATAGTGGTGGTAGTGATAGTAGTGGTAGTGGTGATAGTTGTGGTAGTAGTAGTGGTGGTAGTAGTGGTAGTGATAGTGGTGGTGGTGATAGTTGTGATAGTGATAGTTGTGGTAGTGGTGGTGGTTGTGGTAGTGGTAGTGGTGGTAGTGGTGGTAGTTGTGGTAGTGGTGGTGGTTGTGGTACCACCACCACTACTTCCTCCACTCTCTCGCTCACCTTCCGTGATACATGGGGGATGCAACGAGTTGCTCCACACTGACGCACGCTGGGGTAGGTCAGGGAACGGAACGTCGGACTCCGCGCCTTGTTCTGCAGTGCAACCAGGCTGCCAAGGGGTCTATCGCATGTTGAACGGCGGACAGAGACAGACACACACAGATATATACAGATACACACACACACAGACACACAGATACACACACACAGACACACAGATACACACACAGATATATACAGATACACACACACACAGACACACAGATACACACACACAGACACACAGATACACACACAGATATATACAGATACACACACACACAGACACACAGATACACACACACACACAGATAAATACAGATACACACACACACACAGACACACACACAGACACACACACAGACACACACAGATACACACACACAGACACACACAGACACACACAGACACACACAGATATATACAGATACACACACACAGATACACACACAGACACACACACAGATACACACACACAGATACACACACACAGACACACACATATACACACACACACAGATTCACACACACAGATACACACACAGATACACACACACACAGATACACACATACACACAGATACACACACACTCACACACAGATACACACACTCACATACAGATACACACACAGATACACACATAGATACACACACAGATACACACATACACACACACTCACACACAGATACACACACTCACACACAGATACACACACAGATACACACACACAGATACACACACAGATATACACACACACAGACACAGAGACACACACAGATACACACACAGAAACACACACACAGATACACACACACAGATACACACACAGACACACACACAGATACACACACAGACACACATACACACACACACAACAACAACCGCCATTCGCCACTAAGTGGCGGTGACGTCACCACGACGCTTGTGCCAGGCTATGTGCACCTTGAGGCCACGTGAAGTGTCGAACGCCCGCTGGCAGGAGGTCACGGGGCAGACCCAGCAGGTGCCACGGGTCGACTGACTGAGATGAGTGGCTGATGCACCACCTGTACCCCCTACATTGCCATACAGACACACACAGACACGCACACAGACACACAGACACACACACAGACACAGACACACACACAGACACAGACACACAGACAGACACAGATACAGACACAGACACAGATACACACAGACACAGATACACACACACACACAGATATATACAGATACACACACAGACACACACACACAGGTGTAGTAGTAGTGGTAGGTGTAGTGGTAGGTGTAGTAGTAGTGGTAGGTGTAGTAGTGGTAGTAGTAGTGGTAGTAGTAGTGGTAGTAGTAGTAGTGGTAGTAGTAGTGGTAGGTGTAGTAGTAGTGGTAGTAGTAGTACCTGTAGTAGTAGTAGTGGTACCTGTAGTGGTACCTGTAGTGGTACCTGTAGTGGTACCTGTAGTGGTAGTAGTGGTAGTAGTGTTACCACTGGTACCTGTAGTGGAACCTGTAGTGATACCTGTAGTGGTACCAATGGTACCTGTAGTAGTACCTGTAGTGGTACCTGTAGTAGTGCCAGTGGTACCTGTAGTGGTAGTAGTAGTATTGGTACCTGTAGTGGTACCTGTAGTGGTACCTGTAGGGGTACCAGTGGTCCCTGTAGTAGTAGTAGTGATACCTGTAGTAGTAGTGATACCAGTGGTACCTGTGGTGTCACCTGTGGTGGTAGTAGTGGTAGTAGTGGTACCAGTGGTACCTGTAGTGGTAGTAGTAGTAGTGGTACCAGTGGTACCTGTAGTAGTACCTGTAGTGGTACCTGTGGTACCTGTAGTGGTAGTAGTGATACCAGTGGTACCTGTAGTGGTAGTAGTGGTAGTAGTGATACCAGTGGTACCTGTGGTATCTGTAGTGGTACCTGTAGTGGTACCTGTAGTAGTACCAGTGGTACCTGTAGTGGTAGTAGTGGTAGTAGTGATACCAGTGGTACCTGTAGTGGTACCTGTTATAGTACCACTGGTACCTGTAGTGGTAGTAGTGGTAGTAGTGGTACCTGTAGTAGTACCAGTGGTACCTGTGGTGGTAGTAGTGGTAGTAGTGGTACCAGTGGTACCAGTGGTACCTGTAGTGGTCCCTGTAGTGGTACCTGTAATGGTACCTGTAGTGGTAGTAGTGGTACCTGTAGTAGTACCAGTGGCACCTATAGTGGTACCTGTAGTGGTAGTAGTGGTACCTGTAGTGGTAGTAGTGGTACCTGTAGTGGTAGTAGTGGTCCCTGTAGTGGTACCTGTAGTGGTACCTGTAGTGGTAGTAGTGGTACCTGTAGTGGTAGTAGTGGTACCTGTAGTGGTAGTAGTGGTAGTAGTGGTAGTAGTGGTCCCTGTAGTGGTACCTGTAGTGGTACCTGTAGTGGTAGTAGTGGTACCTGTAGTGGTAGTAGTGGTACCTGTAGTGGTACCTGTGGTGGTAGTAGTGGTACCAGTGGTACCTGTAGTGGTACCTGTAGTGGTAGTAGTGGTACCAGTGGTACCTGTAGTGGTACCTGTAGTGGTACCTGTAGTGGTAGTAGTGGTAGTAGTGGCTACCAGTGGTACCTGTAGTGGTAGTAGTGGTAGTAGTGGCTACCAGTGGTACCTGTAGTGGTAATAGTTGTAGTAGTGGTACCTGTAGTGGTACCTGTAGTGGTACCAGTGGTACCAGTGGTACCTGTAGTGGTAGTAGTGGTAGTAGTGGCTACCAGTGGTACCTGTAGTAGTGGTAGTAGTGGCTACCAGTGGTACCTGTGGTGGTAGTAGTGATACCAGTGGTACCTGTAGTGGTAGTAGTGGCTACCAGTGGTACCTGTGGTGGTACCTGTAGTGGTAGTAGTGGCTACCAGTGGTACCTGTAGTGGTACCTGAAGTGGTAGTAGTGGCTACCAGTGGTACCTGTGGTGGTACCTGTAGTGGTACCTGTAGTGGTAGTAGTGATACCAGTGATACCAGTGGTACCTGTAGTGGTAATAGTGGTAGTAGTGTTACCAGTGATACCAGTGGTACCTGTAGTGGTAATAGTGGTAGTAGTGGCTACCAGTGGTACCTGTGGTGGTACCTGTAGTGGTAGTAGTGGCTACCAGTGGTACCTGTGGTGGTACCTGTAGTGGTAGTAGTGGTAGTAGTGGCTACCAGTGGTACCTGTAGTGGTAGTAGTGGTAGTAGTGGCTACCAGTGGTACCTGTAGTGGTAGTAGTGGTAGTAGTGATACCAGTGGTACCTGTGGTGGTACCAGTGGTACCTGTAGTGGCTACCAGTGGTACCTATAGTGGTACCTGTAGTGGCTACCAGTGGTACCTGTAGTGGTACCTGTAGTGATACCTGTAGTGGTAGTAGTGGTAGTAGTGGTAGTAGTGGTACCTGTAGTGGTACCTGTAGTGGTACCTGTAGTGGTACCTGTAGTGGTACCAGTGGTACCTGTAGTGGTACCAGTGGTACCAGTGGTACCTGTAGTGGTAGTAGTGGTACCAGTGGTACCTGTAGTAGTGGTAGTAGTGGTACCAGTGGTACCTGTAGTAGTGGTAGTAGTGGTACCAGTGGTACCTGTAGTGGTAGTAGTGGTAGTAGTGGCTACCAGTGGTACCTGTAGTGGTACCTGTAGTGGTAATAGTGGTAGTAGTGTTACCAGTGATACCAGTGGTACCTGTAGTGGTAGTAGTGGCTACCAGTGGTACCTGTAGTGGTACCTGTAGTGGTAGTAGTGGTAGTAGTGGTAGTAGTGGTAGTAGTGATACCAGTGGTACCTGTAGTGGTACCTGTGGTACCTGTGGTGGTGCCTGTGGTGGTATCAGCAGCTGGGGGCCTTGGACGCAGCAGAATCGAAACTTTCGATCCGGGTCAACTTCTGCTTTCAAATCGCTGCAGATGACAAAACAAACACAGACAAAGCTCCCCCAGGTAGCCTCTAGCAGGGCTGTAGGGGCAAGTGCAGTCACACACAGACACAGACAAAGCTCCCCCAGGTAGCCTCTAGCAGGGCTGTAGGGGCAAGTGCAGTCACACAGACACAGACAAAGCTTCCCCAGGTAGCCTCTAGCAGGGCTGTAGGGGCAAGTGCAGTTATACAGACACAGACAAAGCACCCCCAGGTAGCCTCTGGCAGGGCTGTAGGGGCAAGTGCAGTCACACAGACACAGACAAAGCTCCCCCAGGTAGCCTCTAGCAGAGCTGTAGGGGCAAGTGCAGTCACACAGACACACAGACAAAGCTCCCCCAGGTAGCCTCTAGCAGGGCTGTAGGGGCAAGTGCAGTCACACACAGACACAGACAAAGCTCCCCCAGGTAGCCTCTAGCAGGGCTGTAGGGGCAAGTGCAGTCACACACAGACACAGACAAAGCTCCCCCAGGTAGCCTCTAGCAGGGCTGTAGGGGCAAGTGCAGTCACACACAGACACAGACAAAGCTACCCCAGGTAGCCTCTAGCAGGGCTGTAGGGGCAAGTGCAGTCACACACAGACACAGACAAAGCTACCCCAGGTAGCCTCTAGCAGGGCTGTAGGGGCAAGTGCAGTCACACACAGACACAGACAAAGCTCCCCCAGGTAGCCTCTAGCAGGGCTGTAGGGGCAAGTGCAGTCACACACAGACACAGACAAAGCTACCCCAGGTAGCCTCTAGCAGGGCTGTAGGGGCAAGTGCAGTTTCACAGACACACAGACAAAGCTCCCCCAGGTAGCCTCTAGCAGAGCTGTAGGGGCAAGTGCAGTCACACAGACACAGACAAAGCTCCCCCAGGTAGCCTCTAGCAGGGCTGTAGGGGCAAGTGCAGTCACACACAGACACAGACAAAGCTCCCCCAGGTAGCCTCTAGCAGGGCTGTAAGGGCAAGTGCAGTCACACACAGACACAGACAAAGCTACCCCAGGTAGCCTCTAGCAGGGCTGTAGGGGCAAGTGCAGTTTCACAGACACACAGACAAAGCTCCCCCAGGTAGCCTCTAGCAGAGCTGTAGGGGCAAGTGCAGTCACACAGACACAGACAAAGCTCCCCCAGGTAGCCTCTAGCAGGGCTGTAGGGGCAAGTGCAGTTACACAGACACAGACAAAGCTCCCCCAGGTAGCCTCTGGCAGGGCTGTAGGGGCAAGTGCAGTCACACAGACACAGACAAAGCTCCCCCAGGTAGCCTCTAGCAGGGCTGTAGGGGCAAGTGCAGTTACACAGACACAGACAAAGCTCCCCCAGGTAGCCTCTGGCAGGGCTGTAGGGGCAAGTGCAGTTACACAGACACAGACAAAGCTCCCCCAGGTAGCCTCTAGCAGGGCTGTAGGGGCAAGTGCAGTTATACAGACACAGACAAAGCTCCCCCAGGTAGCCTCTAGCAGAGCTGTAGGGGCAAGTGCAGTTACACAGACACAGACAAAGCTCCCCCAGGTAGCCTCTAGCAGGGCTGTAGGGGCAAGTGCAGTTACACAGACACAGACAAAGACAAAGCTCCCCCAGGTAGCCTCTAGCAGGGCTGTAAGGGCAAGTGCAGTTACACAGACACAGACAAAGCTCCCCCAGGTAGCCTCTAGCAGGGCTGTAGGGGCAAGTGCAGTCACACAGACATACAGACAAAGCTGCCCCAGGTAGCCTTTAGCAGGGCTGTAGGGGCAAGTGCAGTCACACAGCCACAGACAAAGCTCCCCCAGGTAGCCTCTAGCAGGGCTGTAGGGGCAAGTGCAGTTACACAGACACACAGACAAAGCTCCCCCAGGTAGCCTCTAGCAGGGCTGTAGGGGCAGGTGCAGTCACACAAACACAGACAAAGCTCCCCCAGGTAGCCTTTAGCAGGGCTGTAGGGGCAAGTGCAGTTACACAGACACACAGACAAAGCTCCCCCAGGTAGCCTCTAGCAGGGCTGTAGGGGCAAGTGCAGTCACACAGACACACAGACAAAGCTTCCCCAGGTAGCCTTTAGTAGGGCTGTAGGGGCAAGTGCAGTAACACAGACACAGACAAAGCTACCCCAGGTAGCCTCTAGCAGGGCTGTAGGGGCAAGTGCAGTCACACAGACACACAGACAAAGGTCCCCCAGGTAGCCTCTAGCAGGGCTGTAGGGGCAAGTGCTGTTACACAGACACAGACAAAGCTCCCCCAGGTAGCCTCTAGCAGGGCTGTAGGGACAAGTGCAGTTACACAGACACAGACAAAGCTACCCCAGGTAGCCTCTAGCAGGGCCGTAGGGGCAAGTGCAGTAACACAGACACAGACAAAGCTCCCCCAGGTAGCCTCTAGCAGGGCCCTAGGGGCAAGTGCAGTTACACAGACACAGACAAAGCTCCCCCAGGTAGCCTCTAGCAGGGCTGTAGGGACAAGTGCAGTCACACACAGAGACAGACAAAGCTCCCCCAGGTAGCCTCTAGCAGGGCTGTAGGGGCAAGTGCAGTTACACAGACACAGACAAAGCTCCCCCAGGTAGCCTCTAGCAGTGCTGTAGGGGCAAGTGCAGTTACACAGACACAGACAAAGCTCCCCCAGGTAGCCTCTAGCAGGGCTGTAGGGGCAAGTGCTGTGTTACACAGAGAGAGACAAAGCTCCCTCAGGTAGCCTCTAGCAGGGCTGTAGGGGCAAGTGCAGTCACACAGACACAGAGACAAAGTTACCCCAGGTAGCCTCTAGCAGGGCTGTAGGGGCAAGTGCAGTCACACAGACACAGACAAAGCTCCCCCAGGTAGCCTCTAGCAGGGCTGTAGGGGCAAGTGCAGTCACACAGACAAAGACAAAGCTCCCCCAGGTAGCCTCTAGCAGGGCTGTAGGGGCAAGTGTAGTTACACAGACACAGACAAAGCTACTCCAGGTAACCTCTAGCAGCGCTGTAGGGGCAAGTGCAGTCACACAGACACAGACAAAGCTCCCCCAGGTAGCCTCTAGCAGGGCTGTAGGGGCAAGTGCTGTTACACAGACACAGAGACAAAGCTCCTCCAGGTAGCCTCTAGCAGGGCTGTAGGGGCAAGTGCAGTCACACAGACACAGACAAAGCTCCCCCAGGTAGCCTCTAGCAGGGCTGTAGGGGCAAGTGCAGTTACACAGACACAGACAAAGCTACCCCAGGTAGCCTCTAGCAGGGCTGTAGGTGTATTAGTAGTGGTAGTAGTAGTGGTAGTAGTTGTGGTAGGTGTAGTGGTAGTAGTAGTAGTAGGTGTAGTAGTAGTGGTAGTAGTAGTGGTAGGTGTAGTAGTAGTGGTAGGTGTAGTAGTAGTGGTAGGTGTAGTAGTAGTGGTAGTAGTAGTGGTAGTAGTAGTAATGGTAGTAGTAGTGGTAGTAGTAGTGGTAGGTGTAGTAGTAGTGGTAGGTGTAGTAGTAGTGGTAGTAGTAGTGGTAGTAGTAGTAATGGTAGTAGTAGTGGTAGTAGTAGTGGTAGTAATGGTAGTAGTAGTGGTAGTAGCAGTGGTAGGTGTAGTAGTAGTGGTAGCTGTAGTAGTTGTGTTAGGTGTAGTGGTAGTAGTAGTGGTAGTAGTGGTAGCTGTAGTAGTTGTGTTAGGTGTAGTGGTAGTAGTAGTGGTAGTAGTAGTTGTAGTAGTAGTGGTAGGTGTAGTAGTAATGGTAGGTGTAGTAGTAGTGGTAGCTGGAGTAGTAGTGGTAGTAGTAGTGGTGGTAGTAGTAGTGATAGGTGTAGTAGTGGTAGTAGTGGTAGTACTAGTGGTAGTAGTAGTGGTAGTTGCTGTAGTAGATGTAGTACCTGTTTAACACGTAGTAGCAGGCTTTTCACGAACAATATTGCTTAAGACTGAGCTGTAACCCACCACCACCCAATACGGCCAATCAGCAAAAAAGTGTTACGCTGACGAACGACTAAATCGTTCATTACTTTATCCATTTATAACTGGAGTTGTTTGAGGATTTGCTTGTAATAACATCAAGCGAGACGGATCACTTCGACAGAATGGTGAAGCTCTTTCTACTTGCTCACGGTCTTAAATAGCAGCAGCAGTAGGGTGACGTCACCATGGCAGCAGAGGGCTGTGGGCGCAGATTTAGGTATCGATAGTGATTGGTGGTGGTGATGGGGTGGTGGTGATGGGGGTGGAAATACAGAAGTTGCAATGGTAAAGTTTCGAGATGAGTCAATGGGTTAGTGAGTGGGTGAGTGAGTGGGTGAGTGGGTGGGTGAGTGGGTGGGTGAGTGGGTGAGTGGGTGGGTGAGTGAGTGGGTGGGTGAGTGAGGTGAGTGGGTGGGTGAGTGAGGTGAGTGGGTGAGTGAGTGGGTGAGTGAGTGAGTGGGTGGGTGGGTGAGTGGGTGAGTGGGTGGGTGGGTGAGTAGGTGAGTGAGTGAGTAGGTGAGTGGGTGGGTGGGTGAGTGAGTGGGTGAGTGAGTAGGTGAGTGAGTGAGTGGGTGGGTGAGTGGGTGGGTTAGTGGGTGAGTGGGTGGGTGGGTGAGTGAGTGAGTGGGTGAGTGGGTGAGTGAGTGAGTGGGTGAGTGGGTGGGTGAGTGGGTGGGTGAGTGGGTGGGTTAGTGGGTGAGTGGGTGAGTGAGTGGGTGAGTGGGTGGGTGGGTGAGTGGGTGAGTGGGTGGGTGGGTGAGTGGGTAAGTGAGTGGGTGGGTGGGTCAGTGAGTGGGTGAGTGGGTGGGTGAGTGGGTAAGTGGGTGGGTGGGTGAGTGGGTGAGTGAGTGGGTGAGTGAGTGGGTGGGTGGGTGAGTGAGTGGGTGAGTGGGTGGGTGAGTGGGTGAGTGAGCGGGTGGGTGAGTGAGTGGGTGGGGTGAGTGGGTGAGTGGGTGGGTGAGTAGGTGAGTGGGTGAGTGAGTGAGTGGGTGAGTGAGTGGGTGAGTGAGTGAGTGGGTGAGTGGGTGGGTGAGTGAGTGAGTGGGTGGGTGAGTGGGTGAGTGGGTGGGTGAGTGAGTGAGTGAGTGGGTGGGTGGGTGGGTGAGTGAGTGGGTGAGTGGGTGGGTGGGTGAGTGGGTGGGTGGGTGAGTGAGTGAGTGAGTGGGTGGGTGGGTGAGTGGGTGAGTGGGTGGGTGGGTGAGTAGGTGAGTGAGTGAGTGAGTAGGTGAGTGGGTGGGTGGGTGAGTGAGTGAGTGGGTGAGTGGGTGAGTGAGTGGATGGGTGAGTGAGTGGGTGGGGTGGGTGAGTGAGTGGGTGAGTGAGTGGGTGAGTGGGTGAGTGGGTGGGTGAGTGGGTGGGTGAGTGAGTGAGTGGGTGAGTGGGTGGGTGAGTGGGTGGGTGGGTGAGTGGGTGGGTGGGTGGGTGAGTGAGTTAGTGGGTGAGTGGGTGGGTGGGTGAGTGGGTGAGTGGGTGAGTGGGTGGGTGAGTGGGTTGGTGGGTGAGTGGGTAAGTGGGTGAGTGGGTGGGTGGGTGAGGTGAGTGGGTGAGTGAGTGGGTGGGTGGGTGAGTGGGTGAGTGGGTGAGTGAGTGGGTGGGTGAGTGAGTGGGTGGGTGAGTGGGTGAGTGAGTGGGTGAGTGGGTGGGTGAGTGGGTGGGTGGGTCAGTGAGTGGGTGAGTGGGTGGGTGGGTCAGTGAGTGGGTGAGTGGGTGGGTGGGTGAGTGGGTAAGTGGGTGGGTGGGTGAGTGGGTGAGTGAGTGGGTGAGTGGGTGGGTGAGTGGGTGAGTGAGTGGGTGAGTAGGTGAGTGGGTGAGTGAGTGAGTGGGTGGGTGAGTGGGTGAGTGGGTGGGTGAGTGGGTGAGTGAGCGGGTGGGTGAGTGAGTGGGTGGGGTGAGTGGGTGAGTGGGTGAGTGAGTGGGTGAGTGGGTGAGTGAGTGAGTGGGTGAGTGGGTGGGTGAGTAGGTGAGTGGGTGAGTGGGTGAGTGAGTGAATGGGTGAGTGGGTGAGTGAGTGGGTGAGTGATTGGGTGAGTGGGTGAGTGGGTGGGTGAGTAGGTGAGTGGGTGAGTGGGTGAGTGAGTGAATGGGTGAGTGGGTGAGTGAGTGGGTGAGTGATTGGGTGAGTGGGTGAGTGAGTGAGTGAGTGGGTGAGTGAGTAGGTGAATGGGTGAGTGGGTGAGTGAGTGGGTGGGTGAGTGGGTGGGTGGGTGAGTGGGTGAGTGAGTGAGTGGGTGGGTGAGTGGGTGGGTGGGTGGGTGAGTGAGTGGTTGGGTGGGTGAGTGAGTGGGTGGGTGAGTGAGTGGGTGAGTGAGTGGGTGAGTGGGTGGGTGAGTGAGTGGGGTGAGTGGGTGAGCGGGTGAGTGAGTGGGTGAGTGAGTGGGTGGGTGAGTGGGTGGGTGAGTGGGTGAGTGGGTGAGTGGGTGGGTGGGTGAGTGGGTGAGTGGGTGGGTGGGTGAGTGGGTGGGTGGGTGGGTGAGTGAGTGGGTGAGTGGGTGAGTGGGTGGGTGAGTGGGTGGGTGGGTGGGTGAGTGAGTGAGTGGGTGAGTGGGTGGGTGAGTGGGTGGGTGGGTGAGTGGGTGAGTGGGTGAGTGAGTGGGTGAGTGGGTGAGTGAGTGGGTTAGTGGGTGGGTGAGTGGGTGGGTGGGTGAGTGGGTGGGTGGGTGGGTGGGTGAGCGAGTGAGTGGGTTGGTGGGTGAGTGAGTGGGTGGGTGAGTGAGTGAGTTGGTTAGTGGGTGGGTGGGTTAGTGGGTGGGTGAGTGGGTGGGTGGGTGGGTGAGTGGGTGGGTGGGTGGGTGAGCGAGTGAGTGGGTGGGTGAGTGATTGGGTGAGTGAGTGGGTGGGTGAGTGAGTGAGTTGGTTAGTGGGTGGGTGGGTGAGTGGGTGGGTGAGCGAGTGAGTGGGTGGGTGAGTGAGTGGGTGAGTGGGTGGGTGAGTGAGTGGGTGAGTGAGTGGGTGAGTGAGTGGGTGGGTGAGTGAGTGGGTGGGTGAGTGGGTGAGTGAGTGGGTGAGTCAGTGGGTGAGTGGGTGAGTGGGTGAGTGGGTGGGTGGGTTGGTGAGTGGGTGAGTGGGTGGGTGAGTGGGTGAGTGGGTGGGTGGGTGAGTGAGTGAGTGCGTGGGTGAGTGGGTGGGTGAGTGGGTGGGTGAGTGAGTGGGTGGGTGAGTGAGTGAGTGGGTGGGTGAGTGAGTGGGTGAGTGGGTGAATGAGTGGGTGAGTGGGTGAGTGGGTGAGTGAGTGGGTGGGTGAGTGAGTGGGTGGGTTAGTGGGCGAGTATGTGGATGTAGTATATCGTATAATGATTTCAAGTAATAAAGTATATCGTGTTGAATTTGTAGTACAATAGTATCTAGTATCGTAGAAGAAGAATAATAATATTATTATTATTGTAGAGTAGAGTATCAGTCGAGTTCAGCTGAAACTAGAATCAACAGGAGACGTCACTTAGGGGAATCACCTGCAGCATTAGCTGCTCTTTACAACTTCTATTTTTCATATTATAGAATGTCAAGCTGGTGATAAACACACACATACACATACCTACATACCTACACAGAGTGTACACACATACACACACATACACACACATACACACACATACATACACACACACCCATACACACACACACCCATACACACACACATACCTACACAGAGTGTAAACACATACAAAGACAAAGATCCCCCATGTAGCCTTAACAGACTGTAGGGGCAAGTGCTGTTAGCGAGCACCTATGAAGGCCGGAACGGTACACGAGGGGGTGGGTGGCCAGCACCACGCCCGACCGCCTTTGTCTCCCCAGTGATAGCGATGTTTACTACACACCGCGCCAGGTACTCATTTGAGGCTGAGTCGACCTAGGGGAGGCCTGGGACCGGTTCAGATAATCGTCACTGGTGTTGGCCGTGAGCGGGAATCGAACCCGGGTCGCCAGGTTCATAGCGCAGCGTAGCGCTAACCACTACACTACCGTGACACACACACACACACAGACACACAAACACACAGACACACACACACACATACCTACACAGAGTGTACACACATACACACACATACATACACACACTTACACACACATACACACATACATACACACACTTACACACACATACACACATACACACACCCACATACACACACATACACACACATACACACACATACATACACACATACACACATACATACACACATACATACAACAACAACCGCCATTCGCCACTAAGTGGCGGTGACGTCACCACGACGCTTGTGCCAGGCTATGTGCACCTTGAGGCCACGTGAAGTGTTGAACGCCCGCTGGCAGGAGGTCACTGGGCAGACCCAGCAGGTGCCACGGGTCGACTGACTGAGATGAATGAGATGACTGAGATGACTGGCTGATGCACCACCTGTGCCCCCTACTGTGCCAACCTGCTGTGCTTTAGCCACCCGGCGCTCCGCTCGTTGTTGTGAGCGTCACTCCTCCGCCCTCCGTTGTTGTTGGAGGGCGACTGCCTCCAACTGCCCAGTAGCATCCTTCACGAGCCTCCTCCACAGAGGCCGATCTTGACACCGCTGGTACCAGTCATCGGCAAGTCCACTCAGCTCCACGTCATCCTGTACCACATCACTCCATCTCTTCTCTAGCCCGTGCCGCGCCCGCTTAGCCCCCTCAATCCGGCCAAACAAAAGCTGTTTCGGCATGCGGTGGCTGGGCATGCGGGCTACATGACCCGGCCATCGCAGCCTTGCCTGCCGGAGGAGCTCAACGATGGGACCCTGCCCAGATCTTTCAAGGATTTGTGAGCTCCTCACACAATCCAGCCTGCAGGTTAAACCCAGGATGGTTTCGTAGGCAGGCCAGCCTAAATGTTTCCAACCGGCGAAGATGTTCCATTAGGAGGGTGGGGTCCACGTTTCGCAAGCGTAGAGAAGGGAGGGAATGACCGTGGCCGAGAAGACCTGAAGCTTAGTCCGGAGCGACAGACCAGGTAGCTTCCACACAGCGTTACGCAACCGATGAAAAGATATTGCCGCTCGACTGATTTGGAGTGAGACCTCTGCTGTTAAACTGGAGCCAGTCATAAGCACACTGCCCAGGTATGGGAAACTCTCCAACTCTCTCCACAACTAAACCCCATCACCGATTGGGAGTTGTGGTGGTGGAGTGTCCGATGGTA